GTGGTTCTCAACCTGTGGGTCAGGACCCCTTTGGGGGTCAAATGACCCTTTCCCAGGGGTCGCCCAAGACCATTGGAAAATACATATTTTTTAAAAAAAATACGGAAAACGTAAAATAATTTTATGGTTGGGTATCATCACAACATGAGGAACTGTATTAAAGGATCGCATTAGGAAGTTTGAGACTCATTGAGCTAAAGGATGGTATTTTAAAACTCCTTCTATATGATGGAATGGCAGAAATCCAGGATTATTAGGCCAATGTCTCTCATTTCAATATGCTGATTGATAGTTTTGTGCTAATGATTTTTTTTAATGGATATGCATAGGTTTATGCTTCTTGTATTTATGCATATAAATACAATAAACTGATTGGGAGAAAGTAGGGATAAAAATCAAATTATTAATATAGCATCCAAAAAATTGTTGCAAATCAGCTCTGAACATGCTCTCTTTTTTGTGTCAAAAAGAGGTTTGTGGTTTGGATGAAAACTATACTGTTCTAGGGTAAATCCTGGCATGAATTTATGTAGTTCTTTGTATTCCAAATTCTGCTAAATCTGTCCAAGAATATATTGTATGTTTATATATGCCCTTTAAAAATTCCCTTTCTTCTTGTTTACTTTGTAGATAGCAACTTCTTGCACACCTGTCTATGATCAGCAGAGTACTGATGCAACAATCAAGAATAACATCCACATCTGCATTGCATTTACCAACTTCTAAATTCTCTAAAATTAGGGAATAAAGAAACAAAGTCAATGTCATATTCAAGGCCATTTGTTCTATATTCTAGTCATTCACGACACAACTAAGAGGACCTGTTTCTTCATTGTTATCTCTGTGTTGGAAGACATTTTTCAAGTAGAGAAGCATTTCTGTAAGCATCCCATTTCGGATACTATTAAGAAAAGCCTAGTTGGAGTAAGGGGCAAAATTTATATTTGCTAATCCACACATTTGAAGCTTTGTTTTGCAATATGTATTGCAAAGACATCAGCTTTTGCAAATCTACTCCAAAGAATGGCAATTCAAAATGAACTAGTTCCTGAGTCCCCCCAGGGAAAAGGGCGGCATACAAATAAAGGGGAAAAAAATGGAAAAAAAATGCCTACTACCAATGAAATATTTCACATTATTGCAAGAAAGAGAGAGCCATTCTCAGAATTACTTAAAGCCTCTTTTAGACTTAGGAGTTCTTGTTTGAAAGATAATGAGTGAGCAATTCTTGCTTGGAAGATCAGGAAGATGTCTATTGGAGAATGAGATATGCATCAGTTACCTTTTTCATATCCAAACCAAGATCAACTAGTTCCTCTTGAATCTGAATGATAAACTGAAAAAGCAAGTTTGAGAACTTCAGCATCAGCAACTCAACATCATGTCCTGTGGCTATGTAGATAAATCATTGTCATGAGAAATAGAGACAATAAGAAGCACTCAACTACTTAGTTCTCACTTTGTGAGCAGTATATCAGACAGAACTAGTTATGATTTTATTTTTGGAACTAGGAAATGTCACATTAGTATTCATTTGGTCCAATCTAGAAAGATTTTTCTTTAGTCTTTGTAGCTTTGTAAATATCTAGCATATTCTTAAACTGTCAATGCAGCTGCATGATGAATTTCAACTCTATGTGGAATAATACAGACTCCAATCAAGCCATGCTTGGAGTGAATAGACAATGTTTACTTATACTGAGCCATGGACTCCTTGCTTAATAGATGTGATTAAAGCAAAAATTTAAAAAAAAGTAATACTAAAAAGCGAACATTCACAAAAAGTAGGAAAAGCCACTATCCCTATCCCTAATTTTTGATTACAAATATATTCATCAATGGTGAGCATCAGTTGCAAACAAAACTACTTATTAGCAATCAACAATCATATCTGTAGATAACACAGTGTTGATAGGTCATCAGCAAATGTGAATTCAAATGGGAAAGTGGGTGGGGAGATATATGGGCCAAAAATGTAATGGCTGGTAAAAGCACAAAAAAAATTTTTTTTTATTAAGGTGCGCTATGCTCACCTAAAAAAACCATACTTTTGATGTTTTGTGATGTGTTAAGTTCTTGCAACTGAAGAAACTGAAGGAGAACATTTTCTAGCAACTGAGCCAATTCTGAGTATGATTCTGAGATATGTCAGAACGTGTCTTTATTTCTTGACTTATTTATAACATAGGTCTTTTCTGACTACTGTATTTCATTTGTATTAACCTGGATTGTCTGCTATTTTTATGGAGAATATTTATATTTCTCTTCCACCCTGTATTCATTTGAAACTCAACAGGGAATTACAATTTTTCTACTCAATGCTGAAATGTCAGGAAATGACTGGTGTCTTAAATTAGAATAATAATTAGAAGCATAATAATGTGAAAAGTATATAATTTAAAGGAAAAACAGTATGTGGGAGTTAAAGTTGACAAAAACAGTTTGTCAAGCCTTTCAATTCTCTTATCATCTACTTCTTTGAGGGAAACTAAGGGTGTCATCTCATAATAGAATTCAGTGGCCAGTAGAATCCTCATAAAAAATAGTAGAGGACTAATTATTAGATTCCACCTATTTATGTTGGTGTTAAGAAAAAGAAGTAAAGTAAAAAAATAAATACGGCCAAAAAAAGAATTTATTGGCCATTATATTCTTCTGGGGTGTTTTGTTTTTTATTTCTACTTAGCATAAGAGACCTTTATTTATTACTTAATAAAAATTAATGACATGTCAGATTTTCCTGAAGCAATATAACCACACACAAGATATAAACTCCCAAAGAGAGGAGGATCTTTTAGCACCAAATTGAAGCTTCCAGAATAGGCCAAAAATTTCAACCTAGCCTATTAACAATATTATTATCTTACCTCCATGTGCCCAATCTTCCATGGAAACAAATATATTTACTAAAATACACCCAATCAGAAGAAAGTTATCCACCAGTGATAAAATAATCATGAGCTATTTGGGCTAATAGTTCCGATTTTTATACCCTTACTTTGGAAGGAGGGGTTTGGGTTTGCCTAAAGAACAAAGATGTAGAAAGGCAGAGGGAAGACAATGTGAAGGGAGTCAGGTGGGAATACCAGGAAGATTCATGGAAATCTTCCACTGAGCCACAGAGAAAAAGGAGCGGAACTTGAAAACAGAGCTTCCAAACTTGCATCTGGTTAAACATATCTCAAATTCCCAGAGTTCAATCCTGTCTTGCCTTTCTTTTGTGCCTGTTGAATGATTAACTGCAAAATGAAAAATAATTGTATGGCTGAAGACAACAGTTTTTTTCACTTTTATTACAATAAGGGAGCAAATGGAATTGGTGCATTGAGCAGAAAGTTACTGGAATCCTAACCTATGTGAAGTATGACTACAGCAGCCACTGAAGAACTATTTAGAAAGGTGTTTGTAAAATTTCCTGAGAAATGTGATTTGAAAGAATTGAACTGTGTAAAAAGTACTGTACAGAAACGCTCTGAGGTATGCCATAGAGCCATTGTTCTGATCCTTGAATTTCATGAATTGTTAAAACACTGTATTGTCAGAAAAAAAACATAACACAAAAAAACCACAATACCAATCAATACCAAAATAGGAAGGAGTGATACCAAGCCACTTTAATGCTTACTTATGTTAGCTATTGATAAATATAGAATGAAAATATCACATGAAGATAACTGGTGTCCCGTATCTGTTTTTATTACTACAACCCCTTGCCCCATTTGGCTTCAATAAAGGAAATATGTTGGTATTTCTCATTTCCAATAGTTCCAAGAACAACTTATCACAAATAGTTTGTTGGAATACTGGAAACGTACTGATTCGATAATCATAAGACTTTTTACCTTAATTTTAATCATCATTTATATTTTACTGCATACATATAGACACACACACACAGAGAGATGTATAGATATAGAAAGATATATCTATAATTTCTTACTTTGTAAATAAAAGGTAAATTCAAAACCCAAACCAATCTTTTTCTTTTAAGTTTCCTACTTCTTGCTGTGCTATTTTTAAATTCCAACCGTTAACATTTTCCCAAACATCTAAGAATTGTATCCTAGCCGGTAAATATCTATTGGAAATTGAGAGTAAAACACTTCTACTTTTAGTGATTAAAGAATGATGAAACTAATTATCATCATTTGCACAGGAAAAAATAGGTAGCCCGGAGAAAACAAAAACTAATAATATTAAGAAGAAAAACTATAACAGAAGAAGATAATATCAATGGTAATAGCACCTTGGGTGCAATCCCAAAACATCTGGATCACAACTTGAACCTCATCAGCATTGTAAAATCACCACCAGTCATTTGTAAAAGGCACATTACTTGGAATAGCTACATCAAAGTACAATATTTATTTATTATTTATTAATATTATTGTTTAGTGGAATTAGATATATACATGACTCTGGGAGATAACAATATAAATAATGATTAAAAATATGTAAACAAATAAAAACCCACACCAGAGTCCCCAGGTTAAGGCACAGAGCCAAGTGAAGCAGAAAAACACACTCCGGCAATGAGGAGGGGTTAATGGGGATTCTACCCTTCAGAAATAGTTGCCAGAACATTCTGATGATAGGACAATGTCTGAACATTCTGGTGATAGGCCATGTGAATAAGCTCTCAATTTCTTCTGGGGTAATGTTTATGTCATTGTTTTACCTCTGTAAAAACTATGACCTTCCCCAACTTTAGCTGTATAAATGTTGACTTCATTAAAGTTTGATGAGTCATACATTCCAAAACTTGGTATGTAGACCGTCATGTTTAAAAAAAAATCTTCCATTCTCATAATACAGCATCAACTATTCCTCTTGGGCTATTAGCACAGAGCATAATACACAAATGGTGAACATAATTAAAAAATGTACCCTGTTTACAAAAACTCTTATTTATGACAGATAGAAAGAAATCTGGGAGGAATCAGATGGAAGGCAATCTCTTCTATGCAGTGAAACCTGAATCTATTGAATTTTGAACTGGAACTGATTAATATTATTTAACCCAGTAACTCAGATACCTGCTTCTTTGTTACAAGAAAGGATATTCTCTTCACAGCATTATCCATTTCAAAATGATGCTTCCTTATGTCATTTGCAATCCTTGCCCTTGTCACTAAATAATTCCTGCTATATTTTTCCAAGTCTGAGAATTCTTGCTGTTAAGTGGCTGATTTACATGAAAAATATGTTTGTTTGTTTGTTTGTTTGTGTGTGCTTGATAGAAAAAGTGTTGAGATTGGAATTTGCAAAGAAAAATAATAGAAAAGGAAATACTCTGTTTCCATTTATATGTGTGTCAAATTATGTGTTTTTGTGTGTGTGCACACGCGCACATGCACATGAAGATGTGTTCACTGAGGGAGTCTGTATATATTCAAACAGATACGCATATATACATACACAAATATATGGGACAGTGTATTTTGCAAATGCAACTAATTGTGGTTTATTAATTAAGTTGAGGTTAAACAAACTAGGTTGATGTGTAGGCCACACAGCATGTGTGTATGTCAAAAGTCATACTTTTATGACGTAGACTTGTAGTTGTCTTATCTTTTAATTTGGAAACTGGGATTTTGCACAAGCAAATGATTTGGGGTTGGAGAAGGTTCAGCCTACTTAGCCCATGAATTCTCTGCTCTGAACAAGAAACAATAGATTCTTTATAGTTTTTCCTCCCAGTTTACAAAAGAATCTTTTAGATTGTATCCTAGTTTATTTTTTCAGAGCTATGCTGGTTTGTAAAAAAGTGCAGGTTGAAGAGAGGCTCCTTTGAATACAGGTAGCATAGAAGGTAGAAATTTGTTACCAAAGTTTGTTAGAGATTATTAGCATTTACTCCTAAAATGCTTGCCTTTATTTTTCTCCCTCGTACACTATAATCCTGTCTCCCCAGAGATGGCCATGCTGAAACACTTGTAAGGGAAAATGCCAATGAAATAAAAATAAGTTTCCAGTGTTATAAAATATTTTTTTAAACCACCCGATCTGTCTGAAGAAAGAATGTACACAAATATAAAAATAAATAAATGCCATATTGCAACATGGCTATGCAATCTTGTTTTCGCTTCATGAAAATATGTGTATTCATAAAAGAGGGAGAAGAATCAAATTCCAATCATGCATATATTTGTGGATTCAAAGACTCTTCATGAATAACAAATTCATTTCTTTCTCTGCCAAACTTATTCGCAAAATATGAGAAATAAAAATATGTTAAAGTGACAGCAGTTTTGTACCCTAGATGTTCAAATAAATCTTTGAAGCCAAAAAATGCAATAGGAAAGACATTCTGGCAAACTCATTCTCACATAATCACAAAAGCGAAGACTGTTTAGAGAACCATTTCAATGAGATTATTTGTTTGAATCATCACAACTACCACAACAAAGGAAGTTGCTCGAAACAAGAAGGCATCCTTCCTCTAAATTAAAACTCTCTCAGTGCTTGGATACCACGTTGCCAAAATATATTATCTAACAAAAATAATTTGGTGTTTAGAGAAGGAACAAAAGGAGATCATGTAAGAGACATATTCATTTTATAAAAATAAACTAGACAATCTGTGACCTGTTTTGGAAATATTTCCTTACCATTTTTTCAATGCTTTTAAAATTGCAGAGCTTCTAATATAATGCTTTTACTGGAAGATATTAAGAAATGTATCTACTTACATTGAATTGAATAGCACATAGATCCTTCCTTCCTTCCTTCCCACCCTCACCACCCCCCTCTTATTCATTCTTTCAGGGATATTCTTTTATCAGTTTCCTCAATACCTTCAACAATAGATCTTCTAATATACTGCCTTCACTGGAAATATTGGGATACATTCAGAGATGTATCTGTTGAATTCTATAGTACACTCAAAATCTGCAAATATTTTTTTATATTTGATATTATAACAATAGAATAGCACTTAGACCTATATACAGCCTCATAGTGCTTTTACAGCCCTCTCTCAGCAGCTTACAGAGTCAGCATATTGCCCCCCAAAATCTGGCTCCTCATTTTACCCACCTCAAAAGGATGGAAGGTTGAGTCAACCTTGAGCTAGTGAGATTCAAACTGCCGAACTTCAGCTAGCAGTCAGCTGAAGTAGCCTGCAGTACTGCACTCCAACCACTGCACCACCTTGGCTCAGTTATTAGGTCACAAATTGCTTTCTGAAAATATTTTTGTCCTAAAATGTTTTATAAAATCTGCCAAATTTCAATTCTATGCCAGACATTGGTCCTAGATTTTGGTCCATACATTCTCTAAGTTAGCCCATTTGAGGTGCCTTGATTTAAAAAGTTTGCCCTACGTTGCATCATTTTGCTTAGTTAAAAGTTATAGGAATCAAAGTTTTAATAGTATGTCCTGCTTGATGTCCTTCACATTCTCCCATTTCTGAAAATCACCTCCTTCAGATAGGATAAGAAATCATCGCCAGCCACATCTTGTATTTTTCCTGCATGGCTTCTGATATTTCTTATTGCATCTACCATTTTTTCAACATGCTGAGTTTCCGCTGCAATATGCATTATAGAATATGTGTTTCAATATATGCAGCTCTGGATCTTCATTGGTTAAGAATTTCAGCTTGCACAAATAGATCACAATATTGTGGTCTTGGCTTGGACAATTCATCAGTAGACAGTGCAAATGAAGCAGATTTGAAGAGTCCTGGTGGTGTCGTGGTAAGAATGCAGCACTGCAGGCTACTTCAGCTGACTGCTGACTGCCTGCAATTCAGCAATTTGAGTCCCACCGTCTCAGGGTTGATTCAGCCTTCCATCATTCAGAGGGC